GTCAAGTCTTGCAATTGCAATGAAATAAACAGGAAAAGAGATTCTTCTTGCATTGAATATACAGGCAAAAGCAATCTAAAATTGATTTACATATTGTACAATACCAACAAATGAGAAATGTTAATTTCTGCTTCATTTAAGGCTACTCTGTTCTTTGGTTCAAAAAGGATTGATGTATTTGGACAAAATTCTTTATCAAGTGTGAAACGAAATGTTTTAAATAAAGAAAGCAATGTCTTAAAGTGAGTAAAATAAAGCCATTGCTTTAGATATACCCCATGTTGCAGTAACTATGACACTTGGAGTTACTTGGGTAGCTTTCATCTGTTTTGTTACCTCCCCTTGTTGATATATTTGCATTATTTAGCAGTACAGAATTCGAGTGAAATCTTTCTGACTTTCACATCTTAAGGGGGAGCTTAATCAGCCAAGCCTGTAAGAGCAAACTGTGAAATAAAAAGACTCTTTTCTCTTTTCTGGAATGAATAAGGAATTGCATGCATAAGTTTCAGTTTATTGTTTTAAAATCAGAAGCAGTTAAACCCCAGCATAGTTAGGGGAAGCATATACTGCAAACCACTCGTGTTTCAAGGGCATTAATCCTTTCTTCTTTTCAATTGTAATTCAAGATGTGATAACATGAGAACACTACCCATCTCCAGTCGGGCCTTCTGAAGTCCCATGACAGTTCAAGGAGATGTTCACAGCAAGACTAAGTGCAGAGTAAGGCAAAATTTGGTCCACTATCATAAGCAGCAGATGTTTGATTTTTCATCTGCTTTTAATACATGACAAGTACTTTGTTCTCCACTCTTAAGGCTACATAAAGCAGAATTAATGATTTACTAAGCAGCATCAATGGTTCAACACTGGACAAAGGCAGAACAAGCCTTTTTGTTCTTTCAACAGACTTGCAGAAAGCAGCTCTGAGCTTTTTTCAAACACCATACCATAAACAGCACCAAAACGTGTTACCGAGTTCCTGTGACAAACCCAAAGTCAAATACTCATGCATGACTCTGGATGGTATAGGTAAGGTTGGATTCAGTAAATAGCTGTGCAATCTGCCCATTCAATGCACTGTAAGAAAGCATGTTATATGTTTGTATTTATACTTCTTGCACTAATCCTGACCTTCAGCTTTTGGGAAACATGTTTTAATAGCCTCTCAGCTCTTTCTTACTGACCTGAAAGTTGCTGCTGTCTTCCAGAAGTTCTGCTTTGTGAATTTTCACAGCAATAGGAATAGTATAAACAATAAAAAGAACATTTAAAAGAAATCTCATAAATCCTTTTGACTGGAACATAATTTTACCACAGATTTTTAACAGGACATATGAAAATACTTTAGCAATACTTCCAGTGCTTACTATGAAGACCCACTAGTACAAACCATATGACATGGGACAGTGAGGGCTGTTCATTCCTGTTTATGTGGTGTGTTTGAGTAACAAGCAACGGCACTGTCATTATGTGATAATGTAACATGGCATATTTCTGAAGCCTGCTGAGACTTGAGGAAAATTCTTGACCACATTCTAACTGGCCTAATAGTTACTATTCCTGAAATCATTTATGGAAAATGCTGGCTGGATTCCTTATTTGCTCTGCTCTATTCCATCCACAATGCAGCAGGTAAAATTAGTTACCTGGGTCAACAACTTCCAGGCCTTGTGTATTCTCTCTCTAACATCTCATCTAAGTTCAAATCACTTCACCTCTATCGTCTCTTTAACCTTCTCACTTCAGCATCTGCTTACAATTTAGTTAATATACAAGGTTCTTTTCTGTGCCACTAGCTATGCATGTGATGCTCTTCTTCTTCTAGACCATTCTGGCAGCACCCTCTCCTCAAGCAAAAATCAGACAGTCACTATCCTTATTTAGCTTGTGGTTGAAAGGCAACTTTGTTGTAATTACCAATACACAGAAGCATCTACCCTCAAGTGTACTGATGGTATTGATTTAGACCTGTCCTCTCTCTTCTCCAGCCTCTCATTTCTTCATCCTGACCTGTATCATGTCCGGAATTTAGACCGAAGATGTGTTTAGCTCATTCAACACTGGAACAGCAGGAGGATGCTGTATCTAGTGTTCCTGTGAATAAGGCTCCACAAGCACAAGGACAAGCACAGCCTCTGCCAGCTGACTTTGCTACCAGTGTATGTTCTGGTTCAGGTCCCTCCTCACCTATGAGAAGTATAGAACTCTCACTACATAAACACATAATAAAGTTGGGGACAACAGAATTAATAGTTCCTCTAAATTTTGAAACAAAAGGTAGAGGAGTATCAAATGTGAAGGTAATGGTCGTAATTCTTCCTCTTGCTTCTGATTAGGGACTGTAGGGAGAAAATTCATCCATAAGAATTTTACACATTCTTCTAAATGGGCAGCAGGACCAGAAGGGTTAGATTCAAGCAGAGCTTTTTCTGACATACAACTTGTTTTCTGCATTCCCTCATTTTGGCAACTTGATGATAATCACCCCTGTAACTCATGGTCAAAAGATAATGGTGATAAAAGACTTGGACCTTATGCTGGGTCACCAGATTATATTAGGAGCATCAGTATGGGGTTGGATCTGAGTGATTAAATGAGGCTTTATGCAAGAGGACCATCAGATTTAACAAAATGACCAACTAGCTGCCTTACCACTTCCTTTTGCTGGTTTGCCATTTGTTTAGTATAGCAGCTGTTTGCCAATTAGGGCAAATAATGTATAAATAAAGCAGCAGGATCAAAATCTACAGAATAAAATGCAGCAAATGCAGAATAAAATCCTGCTTCAATGAAACACCTGTACACAGAAATTGTGAAAACACACATAAAATATAACATCAGAGTTGAGTGAAGTTTTCTGTCTAAAAATGGGAGACAAACCCCCACGAAGCACACAGACAAGCCAGTTCATGTATTGAAAGCAAATCTTTCAGAAATGCTTTTGCATCTATGTATACAGAATGGTTGTTTAGGAAAACAGGGGAAAACTGGGGAGATAGAATGATCTGCCTACACTAAAATACATCAGGTGTGCTGTTAAAGCTTAAACATGGCTGTAAGCTGCTTGTGCTGCATTACTTCAAACATTTTAGGAGAAACCTGTTTTAAAGTGGTTCCTTTAGATATTATCACAAATTACTTGAAGGAAGCACAGCCTGCTGTTTAAAGCACAGGACTGAGTCACAAGGTGCAGATTATACCCCCCTGAACCGGTAACTACTATGTGGCTTCCTCATCTCTAAATTAGGAAATAGCACTTAACTAGTCAGAGGTTACAAGGAGACAAATCATCACTGCTCATAATTGTAATAATTGGAACAAATCCTTCAGAAGAGTACTAATTTATGAAGAAACCTGTGGGAAACAAGCTAATCACCTAGATGCTTGCAGGTCTGGTAACTTGTTCTAAGCCAAAGAGAGACTCCTGTGCTGTGTTGGTGAAAGGTTTTAGGAGTACAAAGTATCAGCCCTTGCATTTGTTAAGCAGCAGCCATCTGAAGGTCACCATGGCTCTAAAGCAGAACTGTGATCTCATTGCTGCAGTTTCTGCCCTTCCCTATCCACACCCTTTCCGTGTTTATGACTGTGACACTGGAAGGTATTGATGGCTTCCACCTGCCATATATAGGCAGCCATAGACCTTGTAATGCTGTGTAGGATAACTATACCCTGCATGGTCCTGATGGTGGAAATACAGGGAGGCAACTGCCCAGCTGACTGTACCTTAAGACTAATCAGAATCTAAACTTGTCAGAGTGGAGGTTTTGCCTGGGCCAGGAAAGTGCAGTCAGTGCAAGGCTGACTCAGGCTGAGACCAAACACTTACATGTGGGCAATAAAGCCTGGGGAGAACAAAAGCAGGAGGAGCTCGCATATAAGGGAGGCCAGCTTACTTTCTATATTCATTACTGTACTCGTTGTACCAAACAAATGTGTACTTTTCAAAATGTAAAACTACTGGTTTTAACTGAGCTATGATAAATGGAGCTGGGTGTTTGTAACAGCAGCACCCTGGCCAGTCTCTCAAGAATCACCACTTGGACACCACTGAAAGTGACTGGAAGCAGCACTACAAGGGCAACTCTATCCCTCCCTTCTCTCTGCCTTGAGCCACTGCACTCCGGGCTGCGGAGGGGCACGACTAATCTGCCCCTCCCAGCCACGACAGCAGCAGCCCGGAGTCATTTACCAGGCTCTGCCCTTCTGCTCTTCAGCCCTTCCTCAGGTGACATGAAGACAGCTCCATTTAGTACAGTACACTGGCAGAGCACAGGGATTGTCGGCTTTATAGCAGAACTCTCGCTCACCAAACCCTTCCACGTATTTTTAAAAGGACTTTTACCATTCTTTGCCATGGTATCATCACCTCGGGGCATAGGGGTTGTAAAAGAGCCGGCTTACAGAGTTAGCCACCTGGAACAAGTGGCAGAAAAAAGTACACAGGTTGAACATCCCTTGTAAGTGTTCAGGCAAGCCAGCCGTGCAGACGGCCTGCACTGCCTACCGAGCTGTGCTGGGTCAGCACAAGCGTGGCAGAATAACAGATCCATAACTACAGAGTGAATTTTAGCGGGGGATCAGTGCTCACGTTACCGGCTGTCGAAGCCTCCCTTAACGCAGCTCCGTGGGCACGTCTGTCACTAAACGGCGCTTCTCCAGAGGCGGCACGCCAGCTCTCCTCTGCCTTCCCCGTGCTCTAAACACTCTCCTGATGCTTCATAATCCTTTCCTCCAGCACTCGCTGCCCCTCAGTAACGGGCCGACCTGGCGTTACTGAAGCGTTCTGGCACGGCCCACACCCACCCCTCAGGCCGCTATAACTCCTAGGGAGCCGCGCCTGCGCGGTTAAAAGGCGGGGCGTGCGTGCGTGCGCGCGCGTGCGTGACGTGACGAGACGACGCTGCGTTGGAGAGCGTGCGGCGATCCCGGAAGCGCGGGCGAGGGCCGCGGTGCGGGCTGAGGCGGTAGGCTACGGTGACGGCGGCGGGTGCTGGCCGCCACCTCCCTGCTCCTTGCGGCCGCCATGACGAACTTCATCTCGGTGCAGCTGAAGAAGGCCGCGGAGGTGGACTTGGCCAAGCCGCTATGCAAGTTCATTCAGCAGAGCTACCCGGGTGGCGACGCGCAGGCCGAGCACTGCCGCGCTGCCGAGGAGCTCAGCAAGCTCCGTAAGAGCGCGCTCGGCCGCCCGCTCGACAAGCACGAGAGCGCGCTTGAGACTCTTCTCAGGTAAGGCCTGGCTGGGGCAGGCCTAGCCGGCCTTCACGCCCCCCCACCCAGCTCCGCCATCCCGTCCCTCTTCTCCCGTTTCTGGTGGGGCGGGCTAACACCTCTCCTCGCAGGGCACCGGGGGGGACCCTAGCGGCAGCTCCGGGCTTGGGCCTTGGGTGCGGCGCAACCGCAGCCAGGTGCGGGCGGGCCCAGGTGTGGGTGGGCCGGGCGGGGCGGAGGGCTCCTCGGGAGGAAGCGGCCGGGCCGGCTCCGGTGGCCTATGGGTTGCTGCTTGCCTCCTTGCCACGGGCCCGAGTTTTTGGTGTTGCGAGGTGATGGAGGAAGTGGGGTGCGGATAACAGGCCTTGTCCCGGCCAACTTCCCCTGCTCGTGTTTGTAATCTGCCCATCGCTGCTGAGTCTTGTAGAAAGGAGAAAAAGACTGGCTTGCTTTTAAAAGGAGAGCAGGTGTGCCTTTTATTTAACATTTTGTTGTTACAGCTGGCAGCTTTACTTAGTTATTTACTTATTTATTTATTAACTATATGTTTTCATGCCTTTTCCTGTGTTCTTAATGTATTTGCAAAGTCACATCCTTATTTTCCATTTAGCACACTTAGTACAAACTTGGCAAATTTACCTGTGCCCGTGTTGTGCTGGAATTATCATAGGTTAGAGGAGCATTATGGTTGTTAATCTGTGCCTTCTGCCTGGTTATGCATAAAGCATACTTTAGGGGTAACTGCTCCATCACCTACATAAGCACTCTTTCCTATCTTTGTAGAATATCTATGGATTGCAACATTGCTGTGGTTACACTGCTGAGCTGTTTCTCTGTGTTGGAAATATTTTGAGCCATTTCTTGTAGCTTATCTACTCACTGATGCCACTGTGACTCATTTGCTGGAGTCATACTAACTACACACTTCTATTTGCAAAGCTTGGAGCAAAGACTTGTACTACCAGAATGTGAGTTTTTACATAGTGAAAGTGACTGTATCTTTTTTTTAAGAAAGAAAAAAAAATAGAGGGATTTTTCTAGTACAGGGAGATGTCTCTGTAATAGCATGAACAAGTAGAAATACGTTTGCTGTTCACTCAAATTTCTTGTTTACCGACTTGAAGAGGAATGCAAAAGGAACAAGTGACTTATTGAAAAGAAAGCAAGATTTGTAAAATGAATTGCTGATGTTTTTTGAGCTTATCAACCCTGCATTGGGTGTTTGGACTATAAAAGCTGGGATTGTAGTAATCTTGTTCTATGATATCTTAGTTTCTTGTTTTACTCCTGTTTATTACTGTGCATGTGTTGAAGGTCAGGGAAATAACGAGCTTCTGTGAAGTGAAGGAGGGACTCTGCTACCCAAATTGAAAGGCATGTTGTTATCTCCCCTTGAATGCTAGAGTTGAGCTTCCTTTGCTGATGGTGCCCATCCCGTTTGTCATTAGTTTTTAGCTGAAATGCCTGTTTGGCTCAGCCGTGTTGTATGGCTTCACCCTATCTCTAACATGTTTACATCGCCCTCTTTTCAGTTCTGGTCCTTCTCTTGAACCATTTCTGGGAGACAGAAGGTGTACATGGCATTCTGACAAGTGAGCTACTTGGATGAGTTCAGTGGACAGTCAGATGATCATCAGAGCTAGTGCAAAACTGGATCAAAGTGATGTTGCTGAAAACCAAGGGGCTCGGTGGGACCTCTGAGTACCAGCAGGCCATTAATTAAAGCCACAGTATGCAGCTTCAGCTCAGGTTTTCTCTCTGAATAATGAGGGGAAACCACTTGCAATTGCATAATTACCAGTTTTCCTTTGATTCAGTTCCACATGCAGTTCTCTGATACACAGAAGCTCCTCTGATAAAGCACCTGCATTTTAAATTGTATCCTTTGTGAATACTTGTGCTCTTTATAGTGGCAGTCAGATAAGATGAGGGTCTGAATTAACTGTTAATTAAAGAAACTGATCAGATGTCTTTTCCTGTATCTCTAACAAGGTGTGAGTGGTTTGCCTATCTGACCATATATATTGCAGTTGCTGGAAAATGTTTGTTCTTATTCTGTAAGAATACTCTGAGATAAATTTTGTTAATACTCTATAAGATGCAGTTTAAAAAGTCAGATTGCCTGCACACCTGAAGCGTGGAGTATCCAGCTGAGCTTATTGCTAAAAGAGTGTAAATGTCTGAGTACCCTGCGTTTCTCCTGACAATGCCCTTTCCTCTCCAGCTTCCAGGATTTTCCTGTTGCTGTTTGAGAGTTGTACTCAGTCATGTTTAGGTAACAACTTTAGCAAGATTTTCATTCAAGTTGGAGTTTAGAACTGGTTAGTGAAGTAAGGTTGGAAGAGCTAATTAAGATGTGGATGCCTCTTACATCCATTTACTTCTTTGCAGCTTTTTATAGACCATAATACCTTGTAGAGTGCTGTAGACCACTAACTGTTAAGAAATGAGGCCTTAATCTGCTAATTAATCCAGGATTTGCCGACAGTTTTGTAAACTTTAGAAGCCTCATTTTGCTGACTGGTTACTGCACTTTTCTTTTATGTGCAGTAAGATATGGACTTGGTTGTGGTCCCATTTCCCAGGCAAACAGGAGCCAATAAAGCTTTGGAAGCATGTGGTGTGCTGCTGTTTGCTGAGCACAAATGCTTCTTTTGGCCAAGTATTTGAGATGCCCAGTGAAAAGGGACACAGTGCAACTGGGAAAGACCTCAGCCTGCTTCCAAGCTTTCTTTGTTTAATGGAAATCTGAGTGCTCTGAAGGTGACGTAGGTGAACTTGGTACAGATGTTTCTCCTTAAGTTCTGTCATAGCAGATTTGATTTAGTGGTGTGGGTTTTGGTGTTCTGTTTTTTTCTTCTTATGATTATAATTACAGCTTGAAGGGATTCCTTGCTGCCTTTCTTAATATGAAAGGTAGCCTGGACTTCATTTCCTTTTTCTGGAGTGGTGGGGTGGTGGTGGTAGTTTAATTTTACCAGCAATTCCTGTAGTCCTTTTAAAAACGGGGAAAATAAAGAAAAAGGGGGACTGTTTGTGTGGTTTTATTTTAAGCAGTCAATCTCTTGAGGGCTGCAGTTGTAGTTCTGGTTTCCAGCTGGGATTCAGGACTCCTGTTCTTATCTAGAAAAGCAAAGAGGGATCTTGGTCTCTTTTATGTTCTTTTGAAGGAGATTTTCCTTTACGATCCTTGGAAAGAAGAACAGGATTTGAGGTTTTTAATGTAATACTTATATTTTAATTAAATTCTAATTTAAACCTTGACTTCCCACTGGAGTGCTATAACTCAGTTTTAGTAACATTTATGAGTGTGTAATGCCTGTTTTGCTGAAAAATTGTTGTCTTTGAGAACTAGATCTGTGTTGCTGACCTCTGCCCTCCCGTTGATAACTGTTAGAACTCAGGTAGCTAATGTTTGCGTGGCTCTCTGTAGCTCATCACTGGCGTAGCCAAACACCCAACACTCACCTGTGTTGCATGGCAACTTTGTTATTTGTGTATCGATAGCTAGATTACTGTAAATGTTTTTAAATGACACCTTTATGTTTGCCATCACCTTTCAGTGTGTAACTGACTTGTGCATCTGATGAAGGCCTTTCCTTCAGTATTTCTCTGTACTGCTAGTTTTCAGCTGCTGGGATTAACATCTTTGTTTGACATTTTATATGTGTTCAGTCCGTGTATTCCATTATATTTATATATGTTAATCTACTAAACTAAATGATTTTAGGGATTTTTTATGTCCACAGTTTTAAAGAGCTCTCAAATCTTAAAGAGTATTTGAAGTTCTGTAATAAAAAGAAATGACATCACATGCTTAAAGTAGGAACAAAAATAGGAACCTAAGTTCTAAACTTGTATAAAACCAACCAGACAAAAAGTCCAGTGTTACTGGTGTTCATTGATGCTAAAAGCAGCAATGTACATGTTTGCAAGGAGCCTACACCTCCTTTGCTTATTTTCTTTGTGGTTCTGTTGGAGTACAAAGAACAATCTGCTGCAAACGGCTGATGCTTAGGCTTAGGTGCCCCCAGCTTCACACAGACATTTGGCAAGCTTTGCTTCTTGGCTCTCCCCTCTTGGCAGATGAGGACAGGGTAATTGTGGAATGTGGGAAGACAACTTGGCTTTATTAGTTGCTTTTGGTTAACAAATGAAGTTGAGGCAGGAGGAGGAAGCATGGAAAATCTCATTTTCTTTGTGATAGCACATGAGAACTGTGTTGAGACCAGCTGAAGGCAGGGATTTTCAGTGCTAGGGGTTTAACTATACTTTTTACATACTTGGTAAGCTGTTAAAAGTTAATCTTGATTAAACTGCCTTTACAGTAAATATGTGCAGACTTTTTTCTTTTTAACCTTAGGAGCAATTTCTTTCAACTCAGTTGTTAGTGTAAGTCCTGCTGGGTTACTGCTGCAGATTACTGTAGCTTTTGATTAGGCTTATTATATTGTCTTAAATTGCAGTGGCTGAAGTAGAAAGCTGTAGTATTATGTACACTGGCAGATGCAAGCCACTGAAGAATATGCTAGCATTATTTTTATTGTTGTATTTGACTTCTGAAATTGCTTCTGAGTTTTTAAACATCTGTTGCTTGCAGAACATACACCTTGTACCTCTGCTTCATGTCTAGATCAATAGTGGTATTTAATAAGGTAATGTAAGGATATGGGAACAATGTTAACGCTGTTTCACAGACTGTGAAACTCATTACTACAATGAGTTTTGTATAGTGGGAAAATGAATTCTTAAAAAAGGAATTTGACTGATGTAATATTGGGTGTATGCCTGTATGGCAAGTGTTAAGGGATAGGGTAGGAAACAGGCTTTACATATTACCTGTTCTCAGCAGTAGGCAGTTTAAAGGTATTCTGTTCTGCATCCAGCCTGTCATGTTTAACAAGTGCTGGAGGTGGAGGGTACAAGTCAGGAAAACTGAATTGCTGACTCTTGCCTGGATAGACTATGTGAGGTACTATTCTATACTTGCTGTATTATCTTTTGGGCATTCTTTCCCAAGCATCTTTCACTAGGAGTAGACAAAATACTGGCACAGAGAATGTTTTAGTTTTAATTCACTGTGACTACTACAATATAATGAAAACTAGGCTTACAAGTAAAGGATCAAGTAATCAAGGATTAGGCTCTCCAGTTGATACTGTGCAAGGCAATGTCATCTATTTCAAAGACAATGGAGTTTAAACAGAAGAGTCAGAAATTGTAAGGGAGTGGGATATAATGTTCAGATTAAGAGAGTGGAGTGTAGCTTGTTAACATTATGTTAAATGCTGTACTTAATTTACTGTTGCAGCATGACTCAATGTCTGTATTCTTTGCCTTCCTATATGTATACAGGGATTCATTAGCATGTCAGTTTTTTCTAGTCCACTGTCCCATAAGCAAGTGGAATGGGTCAGCTTCATCTGTGATACTCTTCTACTTCTGAGACACGGTTTCACCTTATCTGTGAAAGATTGCCTACTACTGAACTTCTTCTCTGCTGAAAACATCTCTTTAGGCAGAATTTCTGCCTGTCCTGCAGGTCCTCCATAGTTATGAATGAGCTTCACAACTTCTGTGTGGGATTTTTGCACACTTTTCTTTACATGCCAGTGTAAGAAACAAAACTCTTGATTTATCTAATAGCTCTTTTATTTTTTGTAGATACTATGATCAGCTGTGTTCAATTGAGCCAAAGTTTCCATTCTCTGAAAATCAGGTAAGAAGACTTCTCAAGCTGTTAAAGAATCACAGCACCTTCAATGTATGACTTCCAAGCCTGTACCTAATCCACTGAACAGTACTGGTGTGGGGCGAGGCATTTAATCTCTTTGAGCCTTGATTTCCTAATCTTAGTTCATTTTCTAGTCAGTGCTCACATGGTATACTGAAATGTCACCTCTGATGGCCATAATTATCTTCATTTTACAGATCTGGAAATGTTTGACTTTTGCTAGTGGTTGCAAAGAGTTGTGCTGTGCTGATTACTCTTCAACCTTCCTTTTTTCTAGAAGTCTTTCTCATACTGTGTTCTAAAGGCTTTTAAAAACAATTTCTATGGGAAAACCTTAAGTAATGGATGGTTTTTGAAGTAGTACAGGTGTTTTATTCACAACACTAAACAGAACAAGCCACTTAAGAGCTTACCTCTTTATTCCTGCCTCTGCCCCTACAAATGTCATAACGAATGTCGTATCTATGTAAAAATTATGTTGTTCTTTTTTTTCCTACCATTTTTCTTCAGAACTCTAAGGGGAAATTCAGCTTAACTCTTGACCAGTGGAGTGTTCCTCAGGTAGAGACTGGAACAGAGCTATAGGCTGCTGTGTTTTGGTAGGGAAAGATGTACCTTTTCTTTGGAACTGATGACAAATAGGACAGAATTTGCATCTTGTTCTTGATGAAATCATATTTAAATGGTAACATTATAATTAAAAGAAAGACTTTCTTTTTGGGCTTGGTTACAAGTAAGGGAGTAGTTCTAAAGCAGTTCAAGCTGACTTGGGTTTTGCGTATAGCTGCATTCCCTTGTAGCTGAGAGCTGCACTTTTGTTCTTAGTGTTGAAAATGATCTGATATGGTGATCTGGAAGACTGGTAAACATGAAGAGGAAGCTCTGCAGTGCTGTAAACTGTTCCATCAGAGGGAAGTAGTTGTCAGTGGAAGCAGCAATGAACAGCTGAGGGCTACAGCTTCTAGCTGCAATGCTAGTGCAGGAAAATTCATTACCAAGCAGTACTGTGCCCTTTCTGAAGTTATTCTCCCCAAGCATTTTAAAACAAGTAGTTTTGCTGTGTTTTCTGGTTTGATATGATGCTATGATACCAGTTGTGTACAACTAGTTTGATCAACTGAATAAGGAATTAAATTGTGGAACCTTGAGCTTCTTTGAAGTATTTGCATTGCCTGTGAAATACACACTGGAACTGTAACATAAACCATGCTGGTTTTACCTGAATTGTCTTTCCTAAGTGCATTTCCTGATAATGTTCAAAAAATGAATGAATTCTGGTATTACAAACCAGTTGCAAATATGCTACCAGTATGGAACAGTGGAAACTGCCTGGTTGGGTGGTTTCCTTCCGTTGTGACTATACTGGACCATCAGACTTATTGGGAGAGGAATATCTGGGTGTGGAAAGGAATTTATCTGTCACTCAGAATATGAGAAGAGCTGAAAGATTATTCTGAGCATTTCTGTCTGTTCTGCTTGAAATGTTTTGAGCAAACTTAACATGGAGGAAAAAAGGTAGATTTTTTTTTTTTAATAATCTTAATGATTTTCTGAAACCTCCATAATATTGTGGTGCTACAAGTGAATGAAGTGTTTAACACAGTTGGACTATTAAAGGATAAATATGTGAAATGGGGATATTTTCTGAAGATCTCTCAGATTAAATATGAAATCAAGATCCTTCTTTTTCACCACTTTCAGGTCTGTGTAACATTTACATGGAAAGATGCTTTTGATAAAGGATCACTTTTTGGAGGATCTGCCAAATTGGGTATGTGAATGTACTGAAAGTGCAAGTGTTCAGGATATTAAAGTTCGAGATTGTGTTTATATCATTGAGTTGCTAATAGTCTTTCTAGTATTCTCAACATAGCTTTCAAATGATGTCAACTGTATTGGTAATAGATTAATAACTTCACCACTGGTAATGAATAAATGCAAAGAATTTCTATAAAATTGAGATTCAGTATTGGTTTTTCCAGGGGCACAAACAGATGTGCAATCTGATAGCAGTTATGCTGTCTGCTCCTCAGACTTCTGGGAGCAGCCACAACTGACATTGATCAAAGTTGTTCAAGTTAACATGAAGTTTCATAGTAGCAGGTTTTAGTAATCCAGCTCTTACTCCTCCTCTACATGAATAAGATCCTCATGAGGTGTGCTTGGGGGTGGGTGAGTTTGTTCCAGACGAAGGGAAGTGATGCTAGCTGGCTTCAGTAACCTAGTCTGATAGCACATTTCAGTCAGGGGAATGGAAGGATCTTACAGTGCCCTGGAAGGATTTTCCTGATACTTCTTTATACAGTATTTTCATACAGATTTGAATGCTTGGAAAGAAAAAAAGCATTTGTTCCCTGCAAACATAAGGAGTTTTGAGTCTGTGGTTTGTTTTAGTCATATAGGGACAATTCTGCACTGCAGAATCAGGATCATTAAATGGTTTTGGGGCAATTGTCAGTGGAGAAACTGAGACTAAATCCTTTTGAATTAAGCGAGGAGCTGTTCAGTTATGTGTCATTGTTCCTCAATCCTATACCCAGGTAGAAATTTGGTTTAAAACTTCCATGCAGCTGAGATACAGGGCTGTGACTTGAGAGCTCTGGTTCTTGCTGTTGTGGCAAACTGTTTTCCTAACTCCCACTGAATCCCAAGTGTGTATCACAAGGGTAGCTGAAAGATAATGTGGCTGCTTGAAAAGTGACCCAGTTTGCAGCATGGCATGTAATCTGAAATATGTTGTTTTAGGTTAATAGGTAGAGCTATAAACAGATGGGTCTGAGGAGAACCTATGTTGCTAAACAGCTGTTCTTACTACAAATCACACTTGAGATGCAGTTCAGAGTGTAAAGTAATTCTGCATATAAAGTAATTTTGCACTTAGGAAACTTTAAAGCCATATTTTATTTCCTTTCTTGTGTTTGTTTCAGTCTTTTCAATGATGTATTAAGTTGCACAAGATGATCTTAGGAAAAAAATCTGGAAAATAAAGTACAGAAGAGAGATGATCTAGATAAATGACTATTACCGTGCAGAAATACAGTGACTGTATAACACTTTTCACTCGGAAACACAACGGGAGGAATGGCATGCCAGATTTACAGCTGCTTGCATAGAAACTTCAGAGATCTGTTAGATGAATCTGTAGCTGTGTAAGGAGGCTGGATGTTAGTGAAAAAAACCAAATGTGCCCCTATAGTACTTTGGTTTAAGGATAACTTTAAATGTGGGTTTGGGAAATTGTAAATTCGCTAGCTGAGTTTTCTGTGTTCTCCAACAAGCATCTAAACACTTTTAACAGTTGTACATATCTGCAGTCTTCAGATTTCCCAGTGCTTGCATATGGCAAATAACCTTTGAAAGCAATTAATAGCTTCAGAATGGTTCCTGTTCAGGTATTACTGTTTCTAGAAGTGTGGGCTCCATCCTCTGGGATTGTGAAGTACTACAGGAGTCGAGCCTGAACAGGCTACGTTGCTGTCTAGTGAGCACAAGTTTTAATTAAGTAAATCCTTAGCTGTTTCATTACATGCATAACCAAGATATTTGTCAGCATTTTCAATCTGAAACCATAGCTTTGAGAGGTGGAAAATTCCCTGCATTGCAATAAACAGTAACACAAGAGCATGCAAAAGTCTTTGGCCTCAATGAGGGAAGGGTAGTTAATCTTGCATTCAGGATGCAGTAAGAGCACGTAATTGGGTGGTTATTGTAAATTGGCTAATGCATACAAGTTCATATTTCAGCTTATCTTTCAGTAGTACTTGTGTTTCTTTATCTTCAGGAGCAAAAAGCTGCACTTGAGTTAGAAAGACTTTCAAATGATTTTCTGTATTGTAAGGGTTTTTACACTATGGCTTTTATGCTTTGTGCCACTCTGTGTAGTTCCTCACATGAAACATTTTGTGCAAGTACTACGTTAGACTATGTAAAGCTTTCCTAATGAGGATGACTTCAAACATGAAAAGTTCAGTATGATTGGGGTGGTTTGCTTGTTTTTCTTTGTTTTGGCTTGAAACTGTTGGTATCTTAAGTAAAGATATCAGTAGCATTGGCCTCATCTATAGGTGCATGAGTACTATGGTTTATGGCCTTAACACTATGGGTAACTGTCCATCTTGATTGCAGCTCTGGCAAGTTTGGGGTATGAGAAGACCTGTGTTTTGTTCAACTGTGGAGCATTGGCAAGCCAGATTGCAGCAGAACAGAATCTAGATAATGATGAAGGACTAAAAGCTGCAGCTAAGCATTATCAGGTACAGAGCTCTGTGCTTATGCTTAGGAATTCAGAATAATTAATCTTAGAACATGGGATACGTATCTCTCAATTCTAAAGCTGTATATACCCATACGTAAATATATACACATATTTTCTCCCTCTTAATTGCAAAGGCAGTTGGCTAAGTACTTACTTGCCAGCTTGGAAGAGTTTAATCCCCTAGAATTCTGCATGCTCCTTCCCCCAAGCGTGTTGGTAGCCTTTAACCTTCGCCTTAAGGTTTAATAATTCTAGCTAGTACAAGTTTTAGTTTTAACAAGTTTTACAGTAATAATGTCTTTCTTCATGGTATGCATTAAAATCTCCATGTTCCTATGTTGTTAGGTGTAATCAATATACATTTCCTTATAGTCCGTCTTGATAATGCATCGGTGTAAGTGGTTCCAAGAACAAGGAATTGTTTAATGGCTAAACAATAAATGAGAGACCATACTCCAAAAAAGCTATTTTTTTAATTGTTTTATATATTCTATTTGTAGGAGAGAAAGTCTTTTTTGGAAACATGGATGCTAATGTATAATTTTGTTTTACTTAGTTTGCAAGTGGTGCTTTCCAACACATTAAAGACACGGTTCTGTCAGCATTGAATCGAGAACCTACAGTGGACATCTCTCCAGACACAGTTGGAACTCTCAGTCTTATAATGTTGGCTCAAGCCCAAGAAGTCTTCTTCTTGAAAGCTACAAGAGGTATATTTTAATCTTCAGCGTGTATGTTCATGTGTTCATTACAACTTCCACAAAAAAGTCACAAGTGTGTCAAGTTGGTAAGAGGTTGTAAAGGGCCTTTCAGAAGTTAGTTTTGCCTTTACTGCATTTTCTCCCCCACACCCTTGGAGGTCATTAAAGGCAAACTACAGGTGCCACTTTTGTCTAAAGGTTCACCTCACAGTGCAGTTTTCTGCCTGCCTTTCCTTTTTATGTCCAAAACAGTTGGTCTCCATAGTTAGAAAGGATTTTGTTGGTTTATGTGTTTCCCCCTTGAGAACAAGACATTCTCTAAACTGAGAGTACCAGAAACAGTTCATAGGGGTTTTGCCACTACTCCCCTCCTCCCCTGTCTGAGAAAGGGTTTCTGGAGAATTTAGAAAGCAATGACTGTACTAGGAAAGAAAGGCAATGTCCTAAGAGTTAAGGGAAACAAAATCTGTTTGCTCCTAATTTTGACAGAGTGACTCTGACCAAGTCTAACTTTGGGTATGCCCAGTTTATCTTGGAAAATGAAGTTCTGCAGGTAGAACAAAAAATGATGTCCCTAACTGTTAAAGGGTGATTGTGAAACGATGATTCAGAGGATGCAAGTTCTAATACAGCTGTTAAAGAACATAGGCTTGAAAGAATTTTCCTGTGGAACAGTCCAGTCTTTGGTACAAGATCTTTCTCTTTCCTATTCTGCTTTTCTGTCTGTATTTACAAGAGATTGTGCATCTAGAAATTACAGATAAAGTAAAACTAAGGACATAGAGGTCATGTGTGATAGGCGATCAACTGCTCTCTCCCCGCATTGTTTGAGATATAGTGGAGAAAGGGGTTAACTGGGATGTTTCTTCTCTTCACAGGGAAGATCCTTGAAAAATTCCTGTAGCTTTACTGCCTTCAGGAGAATCTCAAGGAGAAACTCTTGTCCTCCAGCCAACTGATAAATTAAGTTTATATTCTTTATCATTCTGCCGGTACTATTTTAGTCTCTGGCTATTTGGACATTGCTTTGAAATAAATTTGTGTAACAAATGCCTGGAACTTTTCTTCAGGGCAGAAGCAGGTGCTTAACCTCATTTTGCATGAGAAATAGATCTGTCTGTCACCTGGATTCTTCTTACCCAAACATGAAAAAGACAAAGCAAAACTGGTTCCAAACCATGTGTGCCCAGAGAAATGAAGATTTTTGTGTCTGCTCCCAGGACAACAGGTTTGCCAGTGTTAGAAGGACAGTGGGGTTAATAATCATCTGACTATGGAGGCTGTAGGTGTTGCCACATGTAGAGGTTCTTTCCCTTGGCATTTGTGAAGATTCATGTTTGACATCTTAATTTATGTCAGCAGCCTGTTTTTCAAGGGGAAATGCTTCAAAGTTTGATCTCGAAACTCAAGTTTAGCTTCTTGCTGTGTTGACTGTTTACCTTAGTTGCAATCTTTTGGTTCCTCTTGTGTGAGACAGTCCATTCAGCAGCTTACTGGCTGATAATGGTATTTCTGATAGAACCAAAGTTTAGTCACAAGTTGAAGTGTTTGGCAAAACCCAAATTAGCCAGGGAAATCTAACTCTGCTGCATGACTACACATCAGTTCTTTAATTTCTGAGCCTTTCTTAATGCTTTCTTTAAGTGTTTTCAAGTCTGCAGGTAATGGCTATTCCATCTCAAGGCTTGTGTTGTAGCTGTGATATTTTAAAGTTACGTGAGTAGAACTAAAGAGTCTGATTGCAAAAGGTCTGTTTGGAGCTGTCTGCATGGAGAAATGAGTCTCCTCTAACACTTAGTTTGTTAAGGGAAATGTAGTTAATACGCCAGTATCTTCTTTTCCTTGAAGCTCAGGCTCTATGAAGGAGGATGCAGCTACCATACACTAGGTGGGGCTAGAAGGACACTCTTAAGTTTTATTTCATTTGGCTTTATTAAGTATTTAGTGCACTAGACAGAAACATTTTAACAGAGAAGTGATTTGCTGTATCTCATACTCCTTCCTCTGTTTGTCATCTAAATCCTGTTCCACAGTGAAAAGTTCTTTCTGGCATTTACCTCATAGAAGGTAAATAGATTCAATCATAGCTCATGCTTGAAGTGCTGTAGATAGATGTGTGAGTATGCAGGAATGACCACTTGGGAATTCTTTTGGTTTAATTTTGGCAGTTAAGCATACTCTGCAGATTTCCTGGTCTCTCCATATGCCTCCTTCCCCCCCACTATGGTTATGTGTCTGGCAGTATGTGAAAGTCACCTGAATTGGAGGATGCTTCTTTGTAAGGGTTGCTATTTTGAGTGGATGGCTGACATTTGTATTGATAGCCTGCCTTCTCTTGGAAGGCTGAATTGCTAGTGCAGGCCAGAGGTGATTATGGAAGGAGATAAAGATAGAGCCAGCATGTTCCTGCTTTAACAGTTTTAGCTTCAGGAACAGGGTGAGAACGTGAGGCAGGGAATACCACAGCCTCTAGGCACATGCAGCTCTGATGAAGTAGTGGGTATCACTTGGAGGAGCTGTGGTTATTTTTGTCAGCAGCTGCCCAGAGTTTTCTTGTACCACTGCCTGAACCTTCAGTGTCATGATGCAAGTAGAAAATCTGGAAACTGCTTTGGATGTCGACAGAAGAATGGAATCCCACCTTTTTGAGTTATCATGCCAAGCTGGTTTTGCTGTTTGAAGTCATTTACCTGCTCACTTGTAAAGCCTGATGATAATCATTCTTAATTTTTTCTCCCCTTTCCCCAGATAAAATGAAAGACGGTATCATAGCCAAACTAGCTAATCAAGCTGCAGATTACTATGGAGATGCTTACAAACAATGTCAATATAAAGATACTTTGCCCAAGGTTAGTAAATCTGATGGAAATAATCTGGGATGTGCTGTTATTGTGAATAACTGTTGACAATGTACTTGATGAAATACACTTGAAGTGTATCCTCAAGAAAAGCTGACATGTACATTTAAGGGAGCTGAGCCTGTAATTTGAAATAGAGTGAAGAATCTAGGAAGCAAAAGAAAGTGTGGGGTTTTGGGTTTTGTTTAAGTAAAATCTTATTACATGAAGTGTGTTTATTTGTAACACATTTCATTTAAAGTGAGCTTGAAATGTTTATGATGGCGTTAAGGGATGCCTTCTTAGCACTTAATGCCTTACTAAACCTGTTTTTCAAACTAACACTTCCTAATGGGGCTTAACTGGCTTCTAGTCTCAATGTGTTTATGTGACGTTTGCTCTCATGTTGACAGCTGAATACAGTGGTATTGTTCACTTACCTGTTCATGAAAAGCATGACTGGAAGTCAGAGTGTGTCCTCTGTTCTTCTGCCTGCCTTCTTCTCTTTCTCCACCCCAAAACAGTCTTGATACTACTTGTAAAGTGTTTCAGTTTAGTCCTGAGTGTTCATTTGAGAGCTGTTGGATTTGGAAGATGCAGAAGGATGTTTTTTTCACACTGCATATACGTACTGTGTAACAGAAATGAGCAGGTTTTCAATGTATCAAATGTGTCAATTACTTTCAAATCATAAAATAACTATCTGTTATGCAGTGTTACAAATGTAAAACATTTACTTAGTTTTGATATTCTTGGACTCTTGAAATCTGTATCTAGTTAAGGAGGAGGTTGTTTTCTCTAGTGCTTTTTTGTGCATGTCCCTGAGAAGCATCCCTTGTTCCAGATTTGCAGCTGGTTTCATAACTCTGAAGATAACTATTGAAGAGGTCTTTCTTGTTACAAAGAAGATATGAAATATACTAGATTTACTAAAAGTACACCAGAAAACATACTGAAAATATTATTACCAGTGATAAATGGAAGTGATTGATGTTTGGTCCTATAACTTGAGATGCAGTCTTAGTCAAACAGTTGCCAGAGTATTTGCTGAAAGCATTTTTATTCCCGCAGCAGGGGGGGGAAAGTCAGGTCATGTTCCCCCCACTCTCCCAGGTTTCTAATGCAGTATAGAATCTTGATAATGCTGGGAACTGTATGAGTAAGGGCTACTGTGCTGAAGTAAAAGTAGGTGTTTTTATTCTTAAGCAGTACCTTACACAAATGCCTTTGTTGGCCAGTCAGTGGCTTTTCAGGTGTATTGGAGGAGTGGGAGGGTGTTTTTTAAAGTTAACTTGATATCTTGCTTGGCTGCAGCTTGCTGGATGATTTTATGTATGCACATATTTCCTCTTACCCATTCTGTGTCCTTTTATGGATTGGGCCAATTTCTCACTTAGGTCTTATAGAATCATAGAACACTTAGGGTTGGAAAGGACCTTAAGATCATCTAGTTCTAACCCCCCTGCCATGGGCAGGGACTGATTTCTGAGAGGCAATAAGTTATAATAAAGGTGTTGCTTTGTCTTTGGTTGTGGACCATTCTAAGCCATAGATCTGCTCCCTGTTCCAGGTGCAAAGTAATCTGTCAACTGATTATGTGAAAGGATATAGTAAGGTTTGCTGGCTCCATGAGTTAACACCAGCTCTGAGAACAGCTAAGTGTTCAGGAGTGTGAAATGAAATAGAAGTTGATAGGATGTGCCAGATACCAGTTGTAAGGCCTCCCACACCTTCACATTTACCCTCTTTGATTTGTTTTCATTTCTGGGGCTGCAGCAAGTTTGCACATCTGTGAAGAAGCAGGTCTTTTTATACTGAGGTGTTTAAAGCATCACTGTGGTTTTCCAGTGCACCTGGATTTAAGAAATAAAACAATAAGGCAAAATCCTTGATCAAAGACAGTGCCCGTACTGTGGGCTGCATCATAATGTTTTCTTCATGTCTTGGTTGTTACTCCTGCGAAGATAAGTCCATTTACATAAGTGTAAAAATGATTTCTAAGTTGCTTTCCATGTCAGCAGTTACTTGGGCTCTTTATTTCTTCCTTGCTTTTGTAATTGTAGAGTTACTTTCTTGCTGGATCTGATGCTCTTTTAAGTGAAATTGCCTTCTTAAATTAAAAAATCCCAACAACCAAACCAAGCCAAACCCCTGCCAAGGACTGTATTCTTCCCCCACCTTCTCAAACCGTTGTGTCTTGGCTTTGTCTTAGGGGCATTTGGGTGCGTTCTTTCAACTGTCCTTTCTAATACATGCATGCATTTCTAATCTTTGAAGTAAATGTTGTGACTTCATGGCTTGAATTTAAATCACAGTTTATCTGAAATCATCAACACACAGTTTTGCAACAACAGACCAAAACAAGGAGAAACAAAAAAGGATTCAATCCATGCCAAGTCCCATGGCCTCTTGACATTTACCTCTAACATTTTAACCTATCTAAACCATTAATTGGGTGATTCTAATTTCCTTTTCTTCTTCCTTTTTCTTCCTGCATCCCATGTTGTCTGTGGTGGTTAATGTGGTTGGACTTTCCCCTGGTCAGTATTTTTATTTCCAGGAGGTGTTTCCTGTTCTGGCCGCAAAGCACTGCATTATGCAGGCCAATGCAGAGTATCATCAGTCTATCCTGGCAAAACAGCAGAAGAAATTCGGTGAAGAAATTGGGAGGTTACAGGTGGGTAATGGATTTTTCTGCTCTGAATACTATGGGAAAACTATGAATCCTGAAAAGCTGGCTCAGAGTACTGAAATCCAAATAACCAAGCATGAAATGTACTCAAAAACTGCAAAGTGTGTTTTTTCACATGAATTTAATCATCATCAGCAGCTAAAAAGAGGAGAGGTGTGTCTGTAGCCTTTGTAAAAATGGGTTTTAATGATTTTTGGGCAGTTTGATACTGCCTGACACCCGTAAGTCTTCATCTTTACGTTTGCAGAAGCTTTTTACCTCAGTGTAGCTAATATAACAGATTTTAAAATACATTTTCTTAAGTCCCCATAATATTAGAAGTCTGCTTGGTTAAACCTAACTCCTTTCCTGCAGTCCTGATTTAAATCTGACAGTTTTGAAAAGCATACAAACAGTTGTATTTTTAGACTTCATAGACTTCTGCCTCTCTATCTGGTTTCTAGAGGAACTTGGCTATGGATGTTGTAATGAATAGGGTCTTGTCTTAAGTACAATGGGGGGAAAATGGCTAAAAATAACTATTTTGTTCAAATCCTTTGGGGGGGGGGATAAAGAAGTGCTGTTTTAGCTGATCTTATAGGATGTTTGTGCAGTATCTGTTTCCTGATAGGCAGAGAGCTTGGAGACTTGCAGAAGACTGTCCTGTTGACTCTTTAGAAGTTGCCACTATGCCTTTATTGAGTTGGTGCACAGTGAAGTCTTAAACATGGTTTGTTTTGTATGTTTACCTGACAATGAGTTGCCGATATGAGCTTCTAATAGCAGTTATATAGTAAGTGTATTACTGGGTGATAGATGTAGGTGTATCTGCTGTTTGTTTTTGAGTTTAACTCTGCTTTCCAGCTCTCCTAGTATTTCACTGTAATAGAATACTAATATTTACTTTGTTTTTTAGTGTTCACCCAGGACAGGTCTGGCTGTATCAAATTCACTATTATTGTTAAGTTCTATAGGAAATTAACTTGTGACCATGACTTTTCTGTGGCTATCTGGGAAGCTCATTTGTTTTCCCAAGCATAGATGAAAGGAAAAAGCCAAGTTGTTTTAATTGTAACTGTATTTAAAAATTTCTTTTAGCATGCAGCAGACTTAGTGAAAACGGTGGCGTCTCGTTATGATGAATATATAAATGTGAAAGATCTGGTTGACAAAATCAACCGTGCACTTACAGCCGCCAAGAAAGACAACGACTTCATTTACCATGACCGGGTTCCTGACCTGAAAGACTTGGAGTCCATTGGAAAAGCCAGTCTTGTGAAGTCTACTCCAGTTGTTGTTCCACTCAGTCAGAAATTCACTGGTGAGTGAAGTGTGTAGAGTGCACAGGGTCACTGTCACCTTGTGACACCTGGGTACCACCACCAGCGTTCATTTGTACCAGGTCAACATCTGCTTTGGAATTCTACTGAGTGTACAGTAGTGGTTTTGAGAGTGTGGTTTGTCTTTTCCAGTTTGGTGTTCCACTACTTGGTGATGGAAGTACTGGAAGAATAAACCAGAGCTTGAAGATCATCATCTGCAATGTGTTCCTCTCTTATTTTTCTCATATTTTCTCAGCAACTGTGTTTTGTATATTAAACCAGCCTTTTTAATTTCAGAAAGAGCACTAATACAAGGGAAAGGTATCAAATTGTACCCCCTTAAAAAACCTAGCTGCTGGCTTTCCATAAGGCTGAAATAGAATCATAGAATCATAGAATAGTTAGGGTTGGAAAGGACCTTAAGATCATCAAGTTCCAACCCCCCTGCCATGGGCAGGGATACCTCGCTCTAAACCATATTACCCAAGGCCTCGTCCAACCTAGCCTTGAACACTGCCAGGGATGAAGCATTCATAACCTCCCTGGACAACCTATTCCAGTGCATCACTAATAGTGTTAGTTTGTTGGTTGTACAGGGGAGTTCTGAAAAGTGATCCTCCCTTCCTGTTCTAATTTTGGTCCTTTGAGGAAGCAAAAATAAAAATGAAGCCTTAAGAATAATCTGATTTGTAATCCTACAGTTGTTTTAAATACCATGCCTTTAAGTTAGAAATAACCTAATTTCAGTCTTAAAAACTGAAATCTAACCTAAACACCTGTAGAAATAAAACAGTGTTTTTAGGACATCCTGGGGTGTTGGGGAGTATCTTAAGCTGTTCAGCTCAGTCTCTGTTCTACAGCCTGAGTAACAGAGCTGTTAAGATGTTTGTGTCCTTTTACCTTCACGGTGCAACTTGAGTAATTTATCCTACTTGAATTGCAGACCTGTTTGAGAAGATGGTTCCATTGCAAGTTCAGCAGTCTGTGAGTGTTTATAACCAGAGGAAGGCAGATCTAGTGAACAGGTTAATAGCCCAGATGAGAGAAGCCACAAACCTGGCAAATGGGTAAGTATGGCTTCTTGTGAAGTTTCTCCAGAGGAGCTGTGGAGCAGCCTACGAGCATCAGTTGCCTTGCAGCCTGCAGACATCCAGATTGCAGCAGCAGTTTTGCATAACTGTATGGTAGGCTGGCAAACTTAAGCCATAGAGGGGTATTTAGAACTACTTTTCTGCAGACTGAAAGCTTATAAAGAACAAACAGCTTTTCGTTTTCTTCAGTCTTCCCTTATTTTTGAGAGTCTGACACTTGCTCAGAAAAAGTTCCAGTACCATGAATTTGAAGGTATTTCACATTCCAGCTTGGTTGTACTGGTGACTCAATAAATTACATCCCCCCAAAAAAAGAAAGAATAAATTGTTCTTTACAATAAATAATTATAAAAAATCATATCAAGCTGAAAGATAAGAATGTAACTCAAGGCATTTGGTTATCTACCAGATAGTTACTGCTAAAAACATTTGCCATGTTTTGTAAGTGCTAAAGACTTGGGCTTGTTTAGTGTTTTAAGAGCTTTGAAACATGTTTTTGGTAAGGTATACACTAGGAATAATTCAGAGTTTTCAGTCTGAGATTTCTGTCCAGGAGTACATTATGCTCTGTTTCCATTCTGGTTGACTGAGTGGTTGTTTGGATGGCAGTGTTATTTACAGGATAAAGCTACAGACAAGCTGTTGTTTAACATGTTGACTTTTTCAGTGTGTTGGCTTCCCTCAATCTTCCTGCTGCTATCGAAGATGTGTCTGGGGATACTGTGCCTCAGTCTATTTTGACCAAGTCTAAGTCTGTGATTGAACAGGGAGGAATTCAGACTGTTGATCAGCTGATCAAAGACCTGCCTGAACTGCTACAAAGGAACAAAGAAATTTTGGATGAAGTAAGTGAGCTCAGCTAACACTGAGATGTTGCTAAAAAACACCACCACTGAACTTCTGCCTCTTCAAGTGGCAATAGGAAAAGTTCTCAATGAACCAAAATGCCTGTAACTTCACTAGCACTTTAAAAACATGTCATACAAGTTTTGAGTCGATACAAAAACTGTGCTGTCACATGTGCCTGTTCCCTTACAAGTGTTTTGTTTCTCAGAGTGTTGGGGTGGGGAGGGAAGCATTCTAGAGAGATGTTGGGTGATTTGTGCCTTTCAAGCCTGTGTTTTGCTTAGCAAATTAAACTTAGGAAGAATGTATCAACATTCTTCATATATTCAACACTATCTGTTTCATGTTGAGAACAGTGTATAATGCATGTAACGTTTTTCTCTTGTAGTCACTAAGATTATTAGATGAAGAAGAAGCAACAGACAATGACCTGCGTACAAAATTCAAAGAGCGCTGGCAGAGGACTCCATCCAATGATCTCTATAAGCCTTTACGGGCAGGTAAAGGTCATGCTTTGGATTGTGGGGATGCTCTGAAAATGGCCATTCTCATTGTGTAAATTAGTTTGGTAAATATTTGTAAAGATACAAATGTGTGGTTCGGTTGACACACTGGAGGGAAGGGATGGCATCCAGAGGGACCATGACACGCTTGGGAGGTGGGCAGATGCCAGCCTTATGAAGTTCAGCCGTGCCAAGTGCAAGGTCCTACACCTGGGTCAGAGCAATCCCAGGCACAGCTACAGGTTGGGCAGGGAAGAGATTCAGAGCAGCCCTGCGGAGAAGGACTTGGGGGTGCTGGTCAATGAGAGACTGAACATGGGCAGCTTCAGTGTGTGCTTGCAGCCCAGAAAGCAACCGTATCCTGGGCTGCATCAAAAGGAGCGTGACCAGCAGGTCAAAGGAGGTGATCCTGCCCCTCTGCTCTGCTCTTGTGAGACTCAGAGCACTGTGTGCAGTTCTGGTGTCCTTAACATAAAAAAGACATGGATCTGTTGAAACAAGTCCAGAGGAGGCCATGAGGATGATCAGGGGCTGGAGCACCTCCCGTATGAAGATAGGCTGAGAAAGTTTGGGCTGTTCAGCCTGGAGAGGAGAAGGCTGCGTGGAGACCTCATAGTAGCCTTCCAGTATCTGAAGGGGGCCTGTAGGGATGCTGGGGAGGGACTCTTCATTAGGGACTGTAGTGACAGGACAAGGGGTAATGGGTTAAAACTTAAACAGGGGAAGTTTAGATTAGGAAGTTTAGATAAGGAGGAAATTCTTTACTGTGAGGGTGGTGAGGCACTGGAATGGGTTGCCCAGGGAGGTTGTGAATGCTCCATCCCTGGCGGTGTTCAAGGCTAGGTTGGACAAAGCCTTGGGTGCCATGGTTTAGTGTGAGGTGTCCCTGCCCATGGGAGGGGGGTTGTAACTTAGATGATCTTAAGGTCCTTTCCAGCCCTCACTATTCTATGATTGTCTGAAATGTGCCAAAACATCCTTATTGCAGTCTGGAGCATTATTTGAAGTGGAGAGATGGTGTGCAGGCAGAAAATTCCCTGCTGTTCGTGCACCGATGCAGTGTGTGTGCATGCTGAAGTTTCAGAAAGCATGTGTGATGGAAAACATCTGTCCTCCCAAGAATCTGGTTATATGTTACCTCTTAAATACTTCAGTGTACTTAAAGCCATCACTAGAACATGGTTTTGGTGTGCTTAGTGTGTGTTGGCTTGAAGCTAACAAGGGACTGATACTGCTACCTTAGTTTTTGGAGAGTTATGGGGATTTATGTCTTGGGAGTAGCTCAAACCAGTGTTTGTTCAATTACTGCATATGCTTCTGTGGAGAATTAATATCTGTGCCTAGTTTATGCACTACTTAAAAGATAACTTGGAAGCTTAAGTTTACTTGTAAGTCTTAACTTCATGATGCACAGGCTCATAGAAATGTATGGAGACTTGCTGAAAAGCATGAAAACTGCTCTGATGCAAGTCTTGGATGGAGCAAGGTTTGAAATCACCTAAACACTGTTGTGTTTTCTTCCCTTCCTACCACCAGAGGGAGCAAACTACCACAATATCTTGAATAAAGCTGTGCAAGCAGATGGCCAAGTTAGGGAGCGCTATCAGTCTCACCGGGACACCATTGCCCTTCTCTGTAAGCCTGAGGCAGAACTCAATGCAGCCATTCCTTCTGCCAACCCGGCAAAAACATTACAAGGGAGTGAGGTAAAGCATTGAAATTTGTCCTTAGGAATGGAAGTGCTATTTAGCTAAGTAAACTTGCATGAATTGGTGTGAATGCTGACCCTTAGCTGCTCTTGTTTCTGTCACAATTGATACAGGAGGTGACAAACATCTGGAATTTACTCAAGTGTATTTTGTAACACTTAGTACATGCAAGTTCAGTCACCGTGGACAGCAGGAGTGTGGATCTGTTATAAAAGGAGCAATTCCTGATGGATATTCTGAAGTAGGGTGGTGGGGTGTAGTGCTCAGGTCTTGGGGCAGTCAGTCAATGTAAAACACACGGCCTAGCATTTTAAATTGTTAGAAAGTCATGTCTCGCAGCAATACGGTTAGTTTTCTGTAGGAGTGATTTGAAATCAGTGGGTTTGCCATTTTTAGGCTATCCTATTGAAGATGTCTGATCAATTTAAAGAAGATTTCAAAATCCTCATAATCACTCAGTGTTATTAGTGAAAGCAAAACTTTAGAAGAGAATATAGCTTGAGATATGCTTGAAGATCTTCGTTCCATTGCATTTTGTCCTGGTTTGGCACCTTAAACACCTATAAACAAGTACTCATGCAGTAGTGTTGGCAGTGTCAGTGAGGGGTGTAAGATGGGAGCAAGTAATAGAGTACACTTCTGCAGTGATTCCTCCGAATGTGCTGACTTCTGACTATTTTCATTGCCTAGGTTGTTAATGTCTTAAGAACTTTGCTGGCCAATCTGGATGAAGTTAAGAAGGAGAGAGAACAACTTGAAAATGACCTGAAATCTGTAAACTTTGACATGACAAGCAAATTCCTGACGGCGCTTGCACAGGATGGTGCTATAAATGAGGAGGCAATCTCTGTGACTGAGTTGGACAGAATTTATGGGAGTTACACACAGAAAGTGCAAGAGTCCCTAAAGAAGCAGGAAGAACTCCTCAAAAACATTCAGGTACAGCATGTTGTATGTCCTCCTTAACCAAGGAGCAATGATTACTTCTCCAGTACTTCAGAAGTCTCACTTGGCTTTCTGCTCTGTTTTGCTGTCATAGGCCAGTTGATAACTCCTTTACCTGTCTGATCACTGAAAGATACAGGGGTGGTTTTGTGTTCAGTGGAAATGAACATAAATTTCCATCAGACTCATCCAGAGCTCTTAAGTGTCAATTCTCTTGGACCTTTTCTTCCCCAATTCTGCATTTTTCTTTTGCCCTTGAAAGAAGCCTAAGAGGTTTTTTTAGGTTTGTTTTGATTTTTTTTTCCTCTCATCTGATCTTAATACTTCTTTCTGGGATAACTGGAATGGGTTGTCCAGGGAAGTTGTGAATGCTCCATCCCTGGCGGTGTTCAAGGCCAGGTTGGACAGAGCCTTGGGTGCCATGGTTTAGTGTGAGGTGTCCCTGCCTATGGCAGGAGGGTTGGAACTGGATGATCTTAAGGTCCTTTCCAGCCCTAGCTATTCTATGATACTAACAGGAGGCCTGTCTACTAGAGGGCATTTTGGGTCTCAGACGTACATCTTGGTTTGTTCCTAATTGATATTTACAAAGTGCAAAGCTCATCTAAGTGAAAATTGAAGTTTATTTGTAAATTCAGCCTGAATTTGTCAGTAATGCTGGAGTCAAGTATCTGAAACATCTGGCAAAAGAGGAACTCTTGGTGCTTGGACAAGTGACAAAAAACTAACAGGGCCAGTTTGTGCACAGGATTACTTACAGCTTCTGACTGCAACTTGGATTGCAAGAACAAAGGGGAAAAAACTGTTTCCAAACGACCATATGGCTCGTGTTTATCAAGTGTTTTGTGTTCAGATATCTTTTAACATGATAAACTTTTAAAATCCTGATGGATGTTACTTTGATGTTTGAATGTCCTAGAGTTCAAGTGTGGCTGCTTCCGGCAGCTAAAATAGGCTTCTTAAGTTAGCTTGTTTGTTTCTTTTCCCTAAAGAAATGACATGTAGGTAGGTGATCCTTCTGGATGTTTTCCACTTCTCTGTCCTCTTAATAACTTGCCAATGTCAACCAAAGTTGAGGTAGCACTTCCTAAAAGTACTAACTTCAAGTGTGATTGTGTGAATATCAGTGGAGGAAAGAGCCTAATGAATATAGCCTCTGAGAGAGTCTGCTTGAGAATGAGCTGAAAGTGGCCCACAGGAGACTGATAATTAACTGATAGCTAATGCCAGTGTATAGCTCTGAAATAGTCACTGCGTGTGGCAGATGGCAAGTGTCAGGAAGCACAGTGTGTGGATGGGAGGTGAAGAAAGGTGACATGGTTTAGTGTGAGGTGTCCCTGCCCATGGCAGGGGGGTTGGAGCTGGGTGATCTTAAAGTCTTTTCCAACCTAAACCATTCTATGATTCTAAAGGCAGGTATTGGGGAAAGGGGATAGAAGCAAGGACACCAAAATATGTAGAATCTAGCATCAAACCAGCTTGCATTATTTTCACTGCTTATTATTTTCCCTTCTTCTAAGAATGCACATCAGGATTTCTCAAAGATGAAACAATCAAACAACGAATCCAATTTAAGAGAAGAAGTTCTCAAGAACTTGGCTGTGGCAAACGACAACTTCGTGGAACTTGTTGCCAATTTGAAAGAAGGCACAAAGGTACAGTAATGCTGAAGGGTGATTTGCTTACCCAGTGAGACATGGATAAACTCTGCAGGCATGCTGGAATGAGGTACACTTTTGAGGAGCTCACTGCTGAAGTGAGGACAGGGAGTTGCTTGAATTTTGGTTGTTTTGACAGCTGTGAAATGCTGCTTTGTTCCTATCTGAAAAGTAAGCTTTTCTAATTACTGATTTATATCTAAACCAGAAAAAGTTGTTAATTACAGCTGAGTAAACGATGCTGAAGTTACCCAGATGAGCCATGTTATCTAAAGAACTCTTTCATCTGTTCTCCCACGGTATTTAATCACCTTATCAAATTTTGGTTCATATACTACCATGCATATGTGAGGAAAGATGAGGAGAGCTTTATTTAGCTTGCTTTTATTGATCTGAGCATCTGGAAGGGTGTCTTACTGCTTCTGTATTAAGTACTTTTTGCTGGCTTATTGATAGCTCACTAGAGGGCAATAAAACTGAAATGTCTGTCCAAATGAAATGCATGGAAATGACTGAAGGCAGGAAAATGAAAAGAAAAAAAATACCATTAAAAATTGTTAATCACCAGGTGTGATCTAGTTTTATTCTGGTTTTAATGTGTTTTGTAGTAGCCTTTACCTTTATAGACAAACCCTCATGTATAAGAACCCCACAAAATGATCTGGTTTTACAGGGATGGACAACAGCTGACTGATACTTGGTTTTGAGAAGCAGACTAAAAGGCACTAGCAAACTTTACTGGAATGGCAGGTTTTAGGCACTGTAATAACACAAAGCCTATAACTAGATTGAGATGTAGAAACATGCAAGTGTATTGACTGAGCATGCTCTTGTTGGGTCTTTTCTCTTAACTAGTTTTACAATGAGCTGACGGAACTCCTGCTGAAATTCCAAAACAAATGCAGTGACATTGTCTTTGCTCGCAAGACTGAAAGAGACGAACTGCTCAAGTAAGATTTCAGTGTTTTGTTTAAGCTTTGTAAGAAACATTAAGTATATATCAGAAGTTAATCTTTGGGGATGTGTTTGTTGTGGTACTTGATGAAATGAGAAAGGGAGAAGAGGTGTGTAAGACTGTCACCTTTTGCCTTAATGCTAGACCCACTCTCCCCTTGTCTTTCCTATCATTAGGAAAGTGATAGGAGAAATAAATGGAATAATGTACTTTGGTGTCTGTGCTGTTCCTATGTACAGTTCTGCATGAATCTGTTTCATCTGACCGTGATTTCACTCTTAGTTCTTTTTGGCATGCATTTGTTACTTTTATTTTACTCTTTCCTTTGAGGAACCTCTGGTCTCTGCACCTTGCTCCTGCTGTGATTTTTGGCTTGAGAAATTAGATAACTGCAGCAGCATGTGATTGCCTTCCATGTGCCCAGTGTGGTGGGGAGGAACAATGTTGGTGTTCTACCTCTGCTGGGTAGTCTGCTCTGGTCTCATACTGTATCATTGGTTAGATATGTGGGTTGCCTACACTGCTGGCATATTTTGTCCTTCATGGGAAGGAAAGCATTGCTTTTGTCTCCCACACATGATCAGGTTAGGGATGGTATGCTTTAGGTGTCATTTATGGGCTCTCAAGAGGAAAGCATAACTGAAAAGCTACCTGTTAATCAGTGTTCTTTAGCAGAGCATGTAGCCTTTTCTAAACAGGGCTGGTTGCTATTGTAGTTTCAGCTGGTGAAACTGCAGTTGTGTGCATGGACCATATTGTCAATGGGATGCTCAGCCCTTAGGTTTTCTTACCTGACTTCACTCTTTGTAGAACTGTTCCTTTTCAGTTGGGCATGGTGCTTCTGACTGTATACAATCTCTTCTACTTCATATGCTCATGAAACTCAGGATCTGTAGGCTGCCTAACCAAGGCTATGGTCTGAGTAGCTCTCATTCTAATATGTTAATGTTCAGTGTTAAAGCTGTGGGTTTAGTGTTGGTCTAACATTGAGCTGAATTTTGGCGTGCTGTCTTTTACTGCCTCACGTGCTAACAGTTAACTACATGAAACCCTGTCAAGGGTTGGGGGCAATGGTCAGATTTGGGATATTTGTAATGTACATCTACAAACATTTATTTCTCAGTGCACCAACCCAAAATCTGAGTAAATGTGGGGTTTTGTCCCTTCCCCACAATAAAAATACTGACTGTGAGCTACATCTTCACTTAATAAAAGTTGTTTAGATGGTTTCTTATGTAGAACTAGGAAGGTTTTGTTTCCCCACATGATGGTTGCCTATTGGATGATCAGTTTTAATAGTGTATTAGGCATCACATTTAATGTATTTAGTCATTTTGTGGTTTAATTTATTTCACTCTGGGTGGTACTGCTGTTCTGTAAGCTATTGGTCTTTGCAGTGTGATTTGAAGAGGAAAGCCATTACTTCTGTTCCTCATGTCATATTCAAAGATGTTGTGGTTTTCTTAGCTTGCACCTTGGGCTGTAGTTGCTACCTCAACTGTGCCTTTGCTGGTTTCCTCCATCTTCTGTTTCAGGTGTCAAGTTCTAACTGGTACATAATGCTCCCCTACCACTTTTACCCAAAATTGCCTGGAATTTATATGTTTTCTAATGTCTCTCTGGAGAACTTGCCCGGCCTCAAATACTGACTCCTTGCACTGGGGAATGCACTACACTGAATATGTAGCTTAGAATTACTGCCTTAAAGCTTTCCTGACAAGCTGCCTGTAAAATGATGCTGTTCAGTGGCAGCTTGTGGTGTCCCATGACACCAAAGCCTCCTTGTGTCTTACAAAGGCTAATTCCAGCACTAGAGGTAACAGAATAGAGAACTTGAAAGCTTATTTGCTGAACCATTCATTTTTTTGCCAGGGTTTTTTGGGTAGTTGTGCTTACACAGGTGTAAATGACGTTGTAAACTACCTAGCAGACTTCTTCTATCAATTCTGTTAGATGTATGGTATTTGCATGCTATATTATTTAATTTAGGACAATCTCTAAGCAATGTGGCATTGCTTTGCTTCTGTATTTGAGCATCTTTTCACATGTTAAATTCACTGACATTTACTTGTATTCCATTCTGTAGCCTTGAGGTTTCCTTAGGTTCGCAGGAAGGCTTCCAAGTTGCTAAATGTTCTGACTGTTGTGATTTCTGATCCCAAAGCTTTTGGCTAATTCCATGATCTATACCTAGTATTGAGTTGGAACATAAAGACATTATTAGAAAATAGATGTAACAGTTAATCAGAGGGTTGGCTAGAGGATTGTTTCCAATGAAGTGATTTGGACTCCAAATTCAGTTTGAGCTGCATCAGTGGTCATGCTTTAAGTATTGGATTTACCCTGTTGCCTCTCTATAGCTTAGCTTGTTGAAGTGTATGACAACAAATTCTTAAACTAAGCTGTATGTTTGCTTGTTTGTTTAATAGAGATTTGCAGCAAAGCATTGCTAGGGAGCCCAGTGCTCCCTCTATTCCTCTGCCTACCTATCAGACCACAGCAGCTGGAGGAAGCAAGCCTGCAGCATCATCAGCTCCTACTCCAGCACCCAGAACCATGGTGGTAAATACACACTACAGAAATAGGGGGTTGAAAATACTATGGAACTCCAAACTGATCTGTAACTTGTGTATATCACTCCTTAATGTTTAACGTATTTGGAAATGCATTGAAGGGAAATAGAAGGCGAGTTCCAAAGGTGCAGAGAGATGTATTATGCCCCATTGATGTTCATAATTTGCAGATTTGAAATGCAAAGCTTGTTGGTTTTTAGATGCTTCACATTATATTTAGTTTATAGAGATAGTAGAATGTCTGCTTAAAATGAAAATAGGAATAAAAATCAGCTGATCATATACGCACAGCTTTTGGTTCCAAGGCTTCCAGAAGGAAGCATCAGCTTAATCCTTTTTCTCTTGTTAGGGGACTAAACCACAGCCACCAGCACGGCCACCACCACCAGTAATTTCTGCAGCAAGCAGTTCCTCTTCTACATCAGCACCCTCTGGAACAGCTCCTGCTCCTGCTGCTGCTCCTGCTGCTCCTCCTGCTCCAGGAGCCAGCGCACCTGCAGCAAGCACTGCACCATCACAGGCACAGGGACCTCCCTACCCAACTTATCCAGGTTACCCAGGGTAAGCTATGGGAGTAGTTAAGTAGTGCTTTGTTACTCTGTTATCTAAAAGCACTTGTTTGTTGTATGTGCTGTTTTAAAATCCTTTAGTATTACAACTGAAGATGCATTTAGTGTTTGGGGCAAGGTGATATTTTTAGTTTCAGTCATACCATTCTTGCTGGAATCATTTGCTGTACCATTTGTGGGAAGGGTTCAAAAACTTAAAGCTTTTGTAGCTTGGCTTTTTTAAAGGAAAAAGGAGATAGGACTGCAGCTCCTTAACTGTGCTTTGGGGACTGTTGCCAGCCCTTGCATAATCAGTTGGTGGGTTTTATCTCAAAAGTGTTGGCATTTCTCATTTTCCAAATCTTGTTTTTTCACGAAAGATGATGAAAAATACAGAAAATATTCCAGCTTCGTGTGCTGTCTTCTGATGCTCTTTTCCATCTTTCTGGAGTCAGGATGAGCACTTGAAGGCAGATGCTCTCCTTCAGCAGCAGGCTTGGCAAATGTGAAAATATACACAGTGATGTTAAACATGAGATAATCAATTTAGATCAGTTCTAAATGCAGCAAGTTGCTTTTACTCCACCTCCTGCCTGCATCTCTGCTACAGGCAGTATCATTTGTTTCATGTTGGATCCTTGAAAGTTACCACGAGTTCTGCTGCACAGAGAGAAAGATTGAAGGAAAGCATTTGCAGTGATTGCATGTGTTCTTGTACCTATTCACGAGTTGTCTTTTGCAAATTAAGGTTATCAGTGTTTTGTAACTAAAGTATGCTTCCCTTTTGCCACAGGTATTGCCAGATGCCAATGCCAATGGGCTATAATCCATACATGTATGGTCAATATAATCTGCCGTATGCTCCTTCACCTGTCTATCAAAACCCTGGACAAGCACCATATCCGACACCTCAACAACCTGGATACCTATTTCCTCAACAGCCTTATTACCCTCAGCAATAATGTATCTGCAAAGAAGCTCTGCTTGTTAAAATTGGAGAGAAATTGGCAATAAGCATACTAAAACTTTTAGCTTCAGTTACTGTACCATACTGAACTGTATGCAGTCTATAATTCCTGTTCGTTGTTAACTGATCAGTTCTTGATTACACTAAACACCCTGAAAGATCTGCTGCAGTGGTTTAGACTGTAGACTAATACCAGAATTAGAGCCTAATTCCGTGGTCTGAAACTGTACACTACCTGTTGGCTAGACCAAAATACTTGTCTTCAGAAGTCCTGTAAGTAACAGATGGGTTCAGATGAGGAAAACGAAGCAGTGCGTGCACTGGGTGTGATATATTCTAGGGAACCATACAGCGTTTCCTTCTCTACCCTTTTGGCTTGTATTTTTTGGAGGGTTTAGTTAAAAATGCTTATTTTGTCTAATAATCAAGGCCTTGTAAATCGTCAGTAAACAAAATAAATTACTGAAGAGTGGTTTAAACACTTGGCATTCTCATTGCAGTAAGGATGTGGTTGGGGTGTCTGTAGGTTCTGTCATTTGCCTCTTGACTTGCACATAGAGGAACTTCCCAAGCGGTTAGCCTTATGACTGAGCTTCCACCTTTTCCCTGATTCTGTGTTTTTTGGGACAGAATCTGTAATTAACCATTTAAATGTTGTTAGATGGTGTCTTGCAGGTGGAATTTTCCTGTAACTTTGAGGTGTATTGGGCTAAAACATGTTCATGACTGTTTGAAAGGAATGGTTAATCTCATCTCCAGATGCTACTTCAAAGAAGGGAGATGAGGGTCCCTCTGACAGGACCCAGTGGCTGGTTGGTCGAACCCACATTTTCCAAAGAAACATTGCTGAGAAATGTGTTATGGCTCAGAACAGGGCAACTATTGATTGTTGGAGCTTTTCAGATTATGTTTCTAATGATTGCTTTTTTTTCCCTTGAAAAATCAATGTATTCCCTCAGGGAGCTTGGTACTAGTGGAGAAACTTTGTTTTGTGTGTGGGGAAAAAAAATCATCTTGTAAATGAAAGCACATGGAACATTTTCTTTTGGACCCATCTTCTCAAGGGATTAATAATCTTGCACTACATTTTGCATTAGATAATGAAGAATATCAGTTTGTGCTTAATGGCTTCTACCAAATACTTACAAACCATCTTTCAGTCTGGTTTTGGTTGGTTCTTTTAAACATGCTTGTCTAGTGAGGGACCCCCCCCAGTTCCTTTAGCCCTTGACATGAGTCCCTTGGTTCTGTGGGACAGTTAATGTCCTGAGTGCTTCATAGAAGATGTTCTGGCCTTACAGAAGAGTTATCACAATACCTATGTTAAATGTTACTGCTTTATTTTCTATTTAAGTGCCTGATTAAAATATCGAGGTATATTTTGAGGTAGGGGTTTAGTTATTGTAGCATCTGAGTGGAAACCTCACTGGACCTTGAATACTCTTCCTCATGAAGAAAGCAGCACATGTACCCATGTGAGCTCCTTTCTTCCCATCTCAAGTTCTTGCTGTGTGATCACTCCAATGACTTTGTAAAGACTCCTTGTCTTTGATGCTCCCTGACCCCCACAGAAGATGCAGACCAAAAGGTAAAAATGAGCATTTCTTAGAACACGAGTACCTAATTCTGAACACATTTATTAACCCTGTAGAAGCTCAATGATGTGGGGGAGCAGGTTGAAATAAGAGAATGCAGTGCTGTAGATCCAACCATGCACAAGGACACGTGCTTTGCATTCCCTTATGAACCTCACTGAGTGGGGTGGCACAGGAACCTCCAGTATTTTTTGCCTGATGAGAATATGTAAGAGGCAAGCAAGGACGATGAGAAGCAGCTTGGAAGATCACGGTTTGGAACCAACAATCAGAACCTGACTTGAACTGGAAAAACAGTCGTTTTCCACTAATTCCACTGTGTCGATGTGAGCAAGTGCAAGTCTAATGCAACCTTTTCAGTTTGAACATGTCTCGTACACTATGGCCTGTAGGTTTTTCAGTTTGCACATTAGATACGTTTGAGCTACTGGGTGAGTTTGTTTCTAGTGCCTCAATTTATAAGACTTCCTTTAATGCTGTCTGAAAATGTAACTTGGTTCAGCATAAAGATTCCTAGACCTGAAATCCCCTTTTTAAAGTTGCATGGAGCTGGAATCGCTGTTTATTTTTCCAGTTGTGTTACTGCTTGCTTTAGTCTGCTATCATTTGAATATGTATAGAAATCTATGCATTGTGTTGAGCTTTCTGGTTTTCTCCCTTTTCCCCCTTTTTTTTGTTCCTAAAGAGAACAGAAGAATCCAGGGACATGTATGTATCTGCTTTTAAAATTAAGCATGCAGCTGTCATGACTTTGGTTGAGATGTTACCTTGTTCTTCTATAGTTTATTAAAAAAACCCCAGTTAGTAAAACCTGATTTCATGGCTTTTCTCTTGAGTCCTTTGGCTTCAGACAAATGTTGGTTTGGAAAGGATGGGAATAAGTAAGTTTGGGCTGTGGTGAAGGCACTTGGCATGTCAGGTGCCTCACAGTACAGCTGCTGCTCTGTGATAACAGCAGGGCTCGAATCCTGGGAGTTGTGTTGATTCCCAAGGCTGATGGAGTGTGTTCCTCTTGGATAGGAGGAGGAAATGGTGAGGTCCTTCTGCCTCCAGAAGCTTTGAATCAAAGTTTGTTGTCCTGAGCTCTGTGTTAGGCTTGGTTTTGTGTGACTTGCAGCTGGGTAAAGCCATTCCAGGCTGTCAGGGGCATTGGATGGTTAACTATTGCCAGCACATAAATGACCCCCATGGGCACACCAAGAAGCTGATTTAGTTATTCATTTACTTATTCTTTGTAGAACAAGCCTGTCTAACACCATGCATATTGCAGTTGCTGTGTGGGGATCAAAGCTTACCATCATGTCCTTTCCAGAGACTTTTGAAGTCCAGCGTTCATTTTGTCTTGCAGAAAAGCTTTCCATGCAATTAGTGGGAAAAGCAAGTCTTATGAAGCAAACTAATTATGAACCATCAGTGAAACACCAAACCACTGCAAGGCTACTAAGTAAGTCATTTCTAATGGTTCTCTTATTATTCCTTTTTTAAATGGCTTTAGCCCATATGAGGAAGTGTCTTTGCTGCCCACTGGTTTCACACTGCCAGCTAGTGCTGGTTCTGTTACTGCTGTAGGCTTAGTTGAGTGCTTTAGGGCTGATCTGTGGGATGTAGTCTAAGTCACACTGACCAGCATCCTTGCTGTTTCAGAGCCCTTTGAGGCAGTATTTGGGCCTTGGCGTTGTGAAGCAGCATCACCCATTGCAGGTAACTGACACTGGCAAGAGAACTCCTTGGAAAGCAAATCTTTGCATTAGCGGAGAGATGTGCTTGCTTTTACTAACATGGGTTCAGTTCTGAAGTGACTTGCACCGCAGAGCCTGTGTTCTGGCATGTATTTGTCCTGATAGAACTTTTGAACAGGCTACGTTGAGTGATCATGTGCTTCAAGTGTTGGTTATGTACCATTGGATGGAATCTCCTGAATTATCAGGATTTGGCTATGTTCAGTTTGAAAGCAACTCCTTTGGAGTTTCCAGCCCTTGAAAAGATGAGCTGTGCCAGCAGAGCAACACTCCAAATGGCTTTGTTGTGGTGTTTATGGGGAGGATTTGGGGCTTTTTTTGTTGTCACTTTTGACTAGAATTCGCCACCTGCTATTCAGGTTTATTTTAACCTTTGAAAGCTTCATTTAAAAATGGGCAGTGTTTAAAAAACAGCAATTTTGACTGTTTTAACCGTGCTAAGTATTGGCACAGGGTGCCCAGAGAAGCTGTGGCTGCCTCATTCGTGGCAGTGTTCAAGGCCAGGTTGGACACAGGGGCTTGGAGCAAGCTGCTCCAGTGGAAGGGGTTGGAATTAGATGAGCTTTAAGGTCTCTTCCAACCCAAACCAGTCTGGGATTCTATTACCTGACATGGTGAGATGGTTTCTTACCCGGTGCAGCAAGTGATCAGATGAGGCTTAACCGGCTGCTGTGATGAAGTGACATTGGAGCAAGGTGGATGGTGGGTGTTAGCATGACCCATTCTGACAGTGGGAGTACTGAAAAGGAGCGTGTGTTGCTGGCAGGGGCAAAGCCTGCTGGCAGCTGCAGCTCTTTGTGGAGAGCAACCTGAACAGCAGATGTTGCACTGGGGCCTCAGAAACTTGGAGAGGGAAAGTGTCCAAGTGGTCAGAGAGGAGAAGGAGCCAGGAGAAAATGGAAGGAAGGCTGAGGGAGAGCTGACTCTGGAGGAAACCATCAAATCAGTTGATGGACTAAAGGCCCTAGGGCTCTGACAGCGCGATGTCATAAATCAGTGTTTTGGATAGTGCAAGGGAAACAATTCAAGTTGAAAGAGCTGAAGACATAACTGAAACAGAGCAATGGTACCAAGGGGAAGAGGAAAAGGAGCTCTAGCTGTGCAGGCAGGCAGGGGGAAGTCAGGAAGGGATTTAAAGATTCTTGAGCAAGGGGAGAAGTAATGGTGAAGGAAAGGAGTTAATCAAGGTGATTTCCAGTGGCTCTGAAGCTCTGGAGAGCTGGGGAGTGGTGATGGGTAGGGTGGGCCTTGGGAAGGGAAGAGCAAAGATGCAGCAGATCAGGTGGACTTGGCAGCATTGGCACAGGCTGCATGTAAAGGGGGGAGTTAGGTCTTAGAAAGGAGTTGTGTCATACATGCAGTGACCAGGCTGAGCAGAGGAGCTCAGGTAGGTGCTGGCATGGCAGTCTGCAGTGCTGGAGACCCTGCAGCCTGTGGAGGAAGGGGAGCAGGTCCAGGCACAAGAACAAGTGGTAGGTAGGGGTATCTCGGAGCAAATGGAGTTTCTCATTAAGCAAGAAAGCTGACTCTATTCTCTCCTCAGCCTCTTTCTGCCACTATTATTAGTGAAGGAGTGTTTCATACTCAATATTTCCTTAGTCTTTGGTTTCCAGCAAGTGTTAATTTCCACAAGCAGAAATGGAGTATGTGACTGAGCAAGGAAACAGCCCCACATCCAGCAGAACCAACCCGCCTGCTGTGTTGCTGTTTGCAGTGCTGCCATGTGGCCAGCAAAACTTCACCTAACAGCACCCAAAGACAAAGACCGACCGAACCCAGGGTGTGTGGCAGCTTCTTACCGCTAGGTGGCGTTAGAAGGAAAGGCATGACAAGAGCTCCGCTCCTCCAGCCCCAACCGCGCTGCTGTTGCGCATCCCTGCATCCCAGCGGCATCATCAGTGTCGGGTGGAAAATTTGGAGCAGCATTGTTAAAAGTCCCGATGAAATGATGGGAGCTGGCGGGAGGGAAAGTTTTGCTGTGCTACAGGAGGAGATTGCTGTGAGTGTGTTAGAGCAGAATGCTACCTGTGAGGTTCCAGAGCAGTTTTCTGGGTTTGGAGACTTATCTCCCCCCTTTGGCTATGTGGTGTTTCAGCACGGGGCTGTCAGTGGGACCTCTCCACCCGGTTTTCTGTAGAATAACGC